CAGGTTACGGGCACCTCGGGTGGATCAGGACACGGTTTCTGCCAACCGGAAAGGAGTCATGACAAAGCCAGGAAGTGCCATCAAAACCCAGCTCTGCCACCGAGGGCTGGTGACCTCCTCCCATCTCCCTCCTGCTTCCCCTCCCCTGCACTAGCAGCCAGCGCCCACAAGGACCAGGCTTGGGGGCTGTGTCCTGGGCCATTTCTGCTTCCACCTGCCTGGGCTCCCCACCCTTGTCCGATATCACCACAGCTGTTGGCCTTCTCCACAAGCCCCTCACAACTGATCCTGGCCTCAGCCTCCCACCTGTGGTGGGATTGGGCCATTTCTGGCTGCTTGAAGGGAAAGCACCCCAGCCCCTCAATGAGGAGGTTGGGACCTGGACCCAGTACAGCCTTGGGAGCCCACCTGGCCTCAAGTGTGGAGTGAGGACCCCGCTGGCTGCCTGGGCTGCTACGGGCTGTTGGCACTGGCTCCCTTCTTGCCCTCCTGCTTCTGTTGTTTCATGCTCTTCTGCAGCCTTGCCTGGCACTGCCTCTCTCCCCACCCTCCCTGTACTCTGTGAACACAGGCTCCCATCCTAATAGGGCCCAGACTTAGCTACAGGACGAAGCTCCAGTGGGGAATCTGGGCAGCAGTCAGTGGGGATGGAAGACATCTTGGAGGCAGCATCATGACCCTCTCTGGGTTCCCCCAGCCCACGTGGAGGCAGCTGTCTGTCCCCGTCTAACCAACCTGTGCGACAGAGGGGGTCTGCGGAGCTGCCTGCCTGCATGGCTGGCACCATCCCAGGGCCTCACTTTGAGGTTATATTCTGGCCTTCAGCACTGAGTGTGCAGACATCTGGAAGCATATGCCTTCCCCCCAAAGATTCACGTCTGTTCACCTCAAGTGCAAGGCCCCAGGTTCTTGGCCTGCAGGCAGGGCACCCATGGCTTCCTCAGCCGGGTTACGGCACCCAGCCCATCTTGCACTGGCCTGACAACCCCCAAATGGGCTGGGCTCAGCTCTGGGTCACACTGCTTTGGGCCACAAGGCCTTTGTCTGAACACATGTGGGGAACAAGGGTCCCACCCTGTCCCCATTGCCTTCTTGGAGCATCTCCAAAGCCCTGGGGTCCTGTAACCCATACTTCCCAGAAGGGAAAACCAAGGGCAGGACAAGGAAGGTCCAGCGGGCTGAGTGCTGAGGGGACTCCTTGCCTCCAGGCTCGGGTGGCACCCACCTCCCAGTGTGAACTGCGGGCTCCACGAGAACTGACCTGTCCCAGAAACACCCCCCTCCAGGCTTGAGGGTCTGAGGCCTGAGGCTGCATCCCGTGGGGGTCTGGTCTCCTGGATGTCCTGGTTAGAAGGCAAATGGGTGTCTCTGAAGGTTGGAGTGAGAAACCAGAACAGGATAGTGACAAGCCCTGGGGAGGGGCCTACGGGCCTGACCCTTCCAGCCCTCCAGCCCTCCCACACTCAGAGCACCTGCCATGTGCCGCCCTGGCCAGGTCCTGGGGTGATGAGTCAGACCCTCAGGGGGCTCACATCTGTACCAGAGAAGCTTCCAAGAGGAGGTGCTGTTTGAGAGGGGCCTCAAGGGAGGAGTGGAGGTTGGCTACACGGGCAGGGTGACGGTGGGTGAGGTGTCACTCTGGGCAGAGGGGAGAGCTCTTTCCTGTCCCTCCGTGTTCCAGGTCTCAGTCCTCCATGACCCCTCAGGGCAAGGGCGGCTTGGCCTTGGGGCTGTCAAGGATGACTGAGGGGATGACTGAGCCTAGATAGGCAAAGAGGGCCCTGCCTGTCAGCCAGAGGGCTCTCTGCAGGGGAAGCCCTCAGGGGTCGCCCAGCTCCCCATCCTCCCAAGACTGAACCCAAGGGAAACTTAGACCTTGAGGGCCGCCCCAAAGCTGGGGCTCCAGACGTGGAGTCCACGAGTGAGTGGTTCCAGGGCTCCACGAACCCTAAGTTGTGGACAAAACTGTGTGCGAGCGTGTGGGTGCACATTATCCTGGAGTGAGGGTCTGTCACTTCTGTGGGACACCTGTGGAGGTCCATGGCCCCAAAAGGTGAGAACCCCTGTTCTGGAACATCAGGGCTGGGAGGAACTCCAGGACTCAGTGGGGTCAACTCCTGCATTTACCAAAGGGAAACTGAGGCTCAGGTGGAGACATACTTTGTCCGAGGTCATCCTGGAAGCTGGCCTCCAGGTCCAGGGCCTTGATGAGCCCTCCAGAGCAGTGTTTCTCAGTGCCAGTGGAGGACGCTCTGCCTCTGTGTCCTGGGGGTGGCCACAGAGCAGACCCCTGGGCCCCACTCCAAAGGTACGGATATAGTATCTTTGCACACCAGAGTTCCTGAGGATAGGGTATGTGTGTGCGTGCTCACGTGTTACATATGTAGTGCTTGTGGAACTGACTTCTGGAGCCAGAGTTAAGAGAACGGCTCTGAGTTCCAAACGGTACATTGCTACTTACTTGCTGGGTGTCCTTGGGCAAGTCTCTTAGCCTCTCTGTGCTTTGGTTTCTCCATCTGTAAAACGGGCAGATTAATAATACCTCCTACCTCATGTGATTGCTGCAGAGATTAAACAGGTAGATAAAGTAAGCCCTCAGCATAGTGCTTGCATGGGATGCCTGATCGTTTTCCCTCCCTCCCCTGGTTTGGGACTTGGGGATAGTGGGCTGGCTGGGTGAATCTTCTCAAATCAAGAATGAACTTCACGTCTGGGTGGTGGCTGTTCATGTTCTGGGCTGGGGAGGCCCCTCTGGGGAGCGTCTCCTCCTCAAAAAGTCCACAACACATGTTCCATGAAGCTCTCCCTGCCCTGAGCACTGACCTGGGGAGCAGCAGCCTCGATGGCCCGGGCCTCATCTAATCCTGTGACCTCCCAGCCCCAGGGATGCGGCAGGTGCTCTGCCCCAGGCCCAGGGGCAGTTGGAGGCCTGTACCACCTTGAAAAGTATTACCAAGAACATGACAACTCTGCCCCAGGAAACAAAAGGATGCCTCACATAGGCTGAGCCCTTCATGGGCAAAGGGCTGAGCAGTGCTGGGAATCACAGTGCAGCCAGTTTCCACTCAGGCCACATTTACTGGGCACCTACGAGGCCAGGCTCTGTTCTTGGCACTGGAGAGGTGGATGCCACATCAAGAAAACTGACCAGAATCTCTGCCCTTGTGCAGCGTACATTCTAATGGGGAGGAGGGGAAGGGAGGAGATGGAAGATAAAATAAATGAGTACAATTAGTGGTTTGTAACAAATGCAATGGAGGACAGTGGTGCAGGCAAGGGGAACACGAGTCCCAGAGGGCAGGTGTGGGCGGGTTGTGATTTTAAATAGAGCGGTCAGGTCAGGACTCACTGAGATGCCATATGAACGAAGTCCTGAATGGGACAGAAGTGAGTCATGTGGATACTTGGAGAAAGAACGTCCTGCACCCGGTATGAAGGCCTATGTTAGATGGCATAATACTAGTTGCCAGTAACATAAACGCAAAATAGTTTAGTTCAAGCTCATTTAACAGTCCAGTGCATGGGTTCCTGGGGGCAGCATGTTCTTCCAACTGGTGATTCAAGGATTCAGGCTCCTTCCTTTCGGACTTCAGCCTCCCGCACCTCCCACTATAGTCATTTTTCCATTTAGCAGGAGGATGGAGAAACATGTAACACAGAAGACACATCTGCATTTTAAGCTTCTTGGCCAGGAAGCAACCTACCATCTGCTTCAATTGATGAGAACTAGCCACAAGGCCCTGTTAAATGCAAGGGGGTTGGGAGAGCTGGCCTGGGGCCGGGTAGCAGCTTCCCCACAGCCCTACACTATGGAGGGAGCATGAACCTTTGGGGGTCAGCTAGGTGTCTCTGCTGTGGCCCTGAGTGGGGGAGTGTCCCTGGCTGTTCAAGGGTCAGTAAGGTGGTCAGGTGGCTGGAGTAGAGTGAGAGCTGGGGATGATGGGAGTTGAGGTCAGAGATAATGGGGGCAGACTGTATAGGGTCACACAGGCCATTGCTGGGTCTTTGTCTTGTTTTCTGAGTGAGCTGGAGCCCCTGGAGGTTCCAAGCGGGGAGGGCCAGGATCTGCCTTGTTCTACCTGGCTCACTCTAGTGGCTGTGTGGAGAACAGACGGCAGGGGCAGGTGCCTGGTAGGAGTCTGTTGCAGTGGTCCAGTGGTGGTGCCTGGGATGAGGATGGGAAGTGGTGGGATCAATGCAGTTTGAAGGCAAAGACAGCAGGACTTCCAGGTAGGCTGTATGTGCGGTGTGAAAGAGAAAGAAAGGAGGCAAGGCCAAGCCCCAGTATGTTGGAGTGGGCACCAGGAGGATGGAGACGGGAAACTGGTGGAGGAGGTTCTGGATGTGTGCGTGGCGTAGGAGTTTGCTTTTGGATGTGTCGCGACGTCACTTAGACCTGCAAGTGCAACCCGAGCCTCTCTGAGCCTCTGTTCCTCACCTGTAAGACGGGGCTAACACACTTACCTGGCGGTGATGGAGAGGATTACCTAACAGGATGGCTGTGAATGGCCCGAGGTGAGTGAGGTTCCCTGGGCGTGACGTCAAGGGCAGTGAGGGCCAGCTTGCTGCAGAGAGGAGCTGGTGGCGGGGTGTGGGGTGGGAGGGAAGGAGGGCCTCTCAGAACCACCCCAGGCTTTTTCCCAGCTCTTGGTCTCCTTCCTCACCCACGGCCCCAGATCAGATCCCTGTGTTGGAGCTGGAGCTGCTGCCGGGACTGCCTGGCCCGTGAGTGTGGGGACAAACTCCAGCCCAGGAAGGGGCACGTGACGTGGGTCCTGAGATCTTAGCTCTAGTGCTGGCTTGGCCACTCTTCGCCGTGGGACTTGGTTCAGGGACCTCCACGCCTCAGTTTTTCACCTGTCAAATGGGCCGGGCTGTGGGCCTTGTCACGGAACTGCAGGAAGCGCTCCTGGGGGGCTGGCACTGCCACACATATCCCTGCACCGCTCCCAGCCCTGGGCGGGCAACGGACCCTCTGCACAGCACAACCCTCCTGGCGGTGGGCAGTCACAAAGCAGTAATACTTTTATTCCCATCAGCAATACTGACGGGGCCTGACCCTTTACAAAGGAGAAGGTCAGGAAAAAGGAAGAGCAGCAAGGGCGTAGGAACCTCTCTTCTCGATGCCCCAACCCCTCTACCCTCCCTGCCAGTCAGGCCTCCAGACCCGGGGGGGGGCGAGGGCTTGCCCTGCAGGGGTTGGCCACCCTTGAGGGCTTCCTAGGCAAGGTCATCTGCCAGCAGAGTCGAAGGTGAGTCCAGCAAAGCTCTTCTGGCACGGACAGCAAACGAAGGGCACGACAGGCACGTTTTCCCCTTGGTGACCAGTCCTGGGCTTTCAGCATCACACTGCAGCCTCAGGGGGGGCCCTGCTGGCTCCGCCTCTCCTCCAGTGCCCTGCACACCCACATGGACACCACGGTGGCATTTCCATCGTTGAACTGAACGATGAATGGGTGGCCCTGCAGGGAAGAGAAGGAAGCTGTGACAGGCATTCCCCAGACTCTGCACGTCATCACTTTCCAAGCCCTGTTCTCAGTATTCCCCAACAGCCCTGTGAGGTGAGGGCAGCTTCAGCCCCATTTCACAGCCTAGATGACTGAGGCCCAAGGTGGAGCAATGACATGCCTGTCTAGAGCACTCACTGCAAACCTCACATTCTGCCTGGTGCTTGGCTACCTTCTGAAACTCCAACCAGCCTGAAAGATCCCCAAGGGTGTGAGCCTATCTTAACTCCACACTGCCTGGCCCTTCCTCAGCCCAGCATCCCTCCAACAGCTGGCAGGCAAGGCCTGGCACCGGAGCTGCCAGCGTTCCTATCAAGTTGCTGCCCAGAGACCAGAGAATCATCTCATCAGGGGCTACGTCAACCCCAGTTTTCTTCTTTGTCTCCAGCCCTCCTATGAACAATCTGCGAGTGGAGGGAAGGCAAACGTGTCAGGGGGAGGACGGATGTGCTGGTTCGTGGTGAGAAGCTTGGGGCTGGGGACCGGACTCTGGAGGGGTGCTACAGCCTCCATGTGGCCCCTCAGGCTCTAACCTACTTAGCCCACCGGCAGGCCAGGTTATATTTAGTCAGCCCCCTCCCCAACTGTCCTGAAGAGACAAGATTCCTCCTCACAATCTTAGGGCCTCCTTGGGAGTTCCCAGGAAAGGTCAGAAAAAAGCAGGGGCAGCCATGGGATCACCCTGGCCACAGGTCAAAGGTGAAAGGAAAACTGGAAAGCATTCTCTTCCCTTCTCTTCTCCAAGTGCTTCTCTGCTAAGGGATGCTCACTTGGCAGCCTCCTCTCCTACCAAAAACTTTGTAGCCTGAGACTGAGGGAGCCACGCTGGGCGAGCAGAGAGCATGGGGGGCTCCCCGCTGCCTCCTCCCCAAGTCCCCCTGCTCCTTCTCTCCCTCCCGCTTCAGCCATCCAGCTCCGAATTCCCTGCTCCCTCCTGCTTTCTGAGCCCTTCTTGGGCCCCCTCTGCCTCCCCTCTGGCCAGGCGGGGCTTTCGAGGCAGCTTTCCTGATGAGCTCATCACAGAGCCAGGAGGGACGGGGCCAGGGCTCGGATGCCCAGACCCCACTGTGTGTGGGAGCAGTCAAGGACCAGGCTGGGGAGGGGGCGGGAGGTCAGGTTGGGCGGGCGTCCCACAGGCAGCACAAGCCTGAGGGGGGGCTGAGGTGGGAGAGGCCCAAGAGGGACTCTGTCTTGGCTCTCATATGTCCCCCACCCCGACACATATCATCTCACCTTACATGTGCCTGCCTAAACCAGTGCCTAGATAGAGGGGATTCTTCTTGAAGTCAGTGAGCACATTTCCTTTTCAGGAGGCTCAGAGGAGGTGACCTTGTGCCCTTCTGAAGAACAAAGGGAGAAGCTGTGCTCAGGAGCCGATGGGCCCCTCCCCTGAAGCCCGGGGTGGCACAGTGTCACTTTCCCAGAATGCCCGGTGACTTTGGGGGCCATATGCTCCATCTCTGTTATCATCTGTTCAGGAACAAGCAGAGCAGAACCGCAGGAGGGGAGAGTGCAGCGTTCCTCCAGTTACAGGAAGGCTGCTGGCCACACTGCAGGAAGCATTTCGCCCAGGTGCACCGGGAGGCTGACGAGGAGAGGGGCAGCATCCACCGCTCTGGTGGCGACTCTGCCCCTTTCCTGTCCTCCCTGACTGGGAGGTGACCCCCATCTCCTGTGTACCCCTGATGCTTTACACCACCCTGCACGGAAGTGACCGAGACAAGTGGTTTTGTCCCCAGCCACTGTCGATGGGTTTGGGGGGAATGAGAAGGGGAATCATAAAGGGAGAAAGAGAGGAGACGGAGACAGAGACAGAGACAGAGACAGAGATGGAGGGGAGACCCCAGCCTCTCTAGGCATCCTGGGCTGTGACAGGAGAATGTGGGAGCTGTAGGCTGCCTGGTCCACCATCTGAATGGGCACGCAGAGAAAGCCAGTATGTGGGGAGTGAGAACATGGAGAGTTGTACAGAGGGAAACAGGAGCTGAGATGGCACTGGAGACCCTGGGGGCCAGGACAGCCTGGCAGCATCTCTGCCTACAGTGTCCATGCACACCTCACGCTCTGGGGTGGAGGCACTAAGTCCTAAGTCACATAGGCGGGCACAATAATCTCCACTTTGCAGATGAGGGAACAGAGGTCACGGTTGACCTGCCCCATCTCCCAGAGCTGCGACTGGATCACAAGTCTCTGTAACCCAAACCTACTGCCTGGGGCACTCCCTGGGCTGAGCTGGAGTAGGCAGAGCCAGATTGCCTTGTTTCTGCCATGGGATTCAGGCCTGCCTGGCCAGAGGGGGACTGAGACAGCAGGTCCTGACCCCTGTGTCACCCCTGGGACATCCTGGGAGAGTGGTGTCAGGGTGGCAGATCACTCTTACTTGACTCTGCCCCCTCCCATCAGCCCTGGGTGGGAAGCAGGGAAAGTATACCGCCACCCCATTTTACAGAAAAGGAAACTGAGCACCGGGGAGGGGACGTGACTGGTTAAGTGCTGGAGCTTCTGGTTGCTACTCTGGTACGTTCTCAGGGCTTGACTGCATCCTCTGTGACCCTGACAGCGCACGTGCTCCCTTTCCTCCCTGGAGTACAGCAGACACTCCTCCAGCCCTGTGATGCACACGATGCAGGTGCTCCTCATGACTTTAATGAGCAAACGAAATCTGATGGACAATTCCGGGAAAAGCATGAAGATCACTCGGCCACCCTGAGGTGCCTGAATTCCTAGGTGGCTCCTGACAGGCCTGAGCAGATGCCTGCAACAACCAAGATGCCTGGAGACCGATGGAAACTGCACACCGGATAATACCGAGTCTAGCACCATGGATTGAGTGCTGTGTGCCAGACCCTTGCCAAGGGCTTTGTTCTCATTTTCCCACCGATCGCCATGCTCACTCTGGAGGCGCACACAGCTCCCTCGCGGATGAGGAAACAGACACTCAGGGACCTGTGCGAAGTCACGCAAGCGAGGGCTGAGCTGGAACCACAACATGGGTCTCTTGACTCCAAATGCCATGCTCAGGACCACATGCTCTCCTGCACCTGCAACCAGAGAGCTGACCTCACAGCCCTTCTGGGGGTCTCTGTGTGGTCCGGAGAGGGCTGCAGCCCCTTGAAGCCAGACCCTCCTCTGCATCTGGGTAAATGCACATCTCCCCCTAGGCAGAGAAATCCAGATGTGGACAAACTCGCAGCCCCCTCAGCCTCCAAGGATCAGCGGATCCCATCTCCTCGGAGCCAGGACATCCACATGCTGCTTGTCAAGAGCATCCTCCGCCCCAGGTGACGGCCCCAGACACCCAGGCCTCTGCCACCCACACGCAGAGTGTGTCAGTGGTCACTCCGCAGAGGCTGGCAGGGCGCGTGCAGGCTGGAGCCGCTGAATGTTCTCACTGGCCTCATCACCAGGCAGTGGGAGCCACTTTCATTTCCCGAATTCTCTCAGGGCCAATTGCAACAATTAAACCGGCGAGGGTTGAAGTATAATGGCCCACAAACTTCGCCACAGAAGGTGGAGACATAATGAAGGGAAAAGAAAGGCACTGGAAGACGCAGGATGGATCCAAAAGGCGGGCACAGGGGAGAGTGAGAGAGATGAGTCAACAACAACCAAAGCTGGCAGCACCACCGGGTGCAGACCTCCCACCACGGGGCCGAGGGGCAGATCATGCCCGTGCACTAACTCGTGAAGAGAAACTAGAGTGTTCAGTACACCCTCCTTCACTTGGGCACTAGTCTCCAGGGCTTCGCTAGAGTTTGGCCCTCTCCTTCTGTAATAATGCCCCTAATTTTTGCCCACCCGTATCATTGTGATGAGATGCCTTCCTGATGACTGATGGCAGGACCCTCCCCATGTGGACAGCGCTCCATGCTTCTGCCAAAGGGGGCAGGGAGAGGAGGGGTCCAGGAGTCCACCGTGTGGGCAGGAGGCGGACGCTCCGAGCCTGCTGTGGAGAAGTACCGCCTGAGGTTGATGTGTCTGGACTCCCAGGCCAGTGCTCATTCACTGACACCTCACTCTGTGCCCTTAGTTGGGCTTCGAGTTTCTTCCCAAATAGGAATTTACCTATTTGGGGTCGCTATAGTCTCTTCTCTTGTATAACCTCCTAAAGAACGTCCTGCATGTGAATCATTTAAGGACTTGCTGGTGTGGGTGCCTGCCCGGTGCAGCGCCTGGCAGGTCGCAGGCCCTCAGTTGGCCGTGGGCCTGAGGCAGGAAAAAGTGACCTGCCTGTCCTCTCTGTCTGCATCTATTCATCGAGCCCTTTTTGTGGGCCAGGCCCCGGCTGCCTTACATGGCCCGGAACCCAACCATCACCCCCTTTACACACAAAGGAGACTGAGACGCCGATAAATGTGACCTGGGGCAAGGCCACAGAGCTAGAAAGCGGCAGGGTTAAGGGCTGAACCCAGCGGAGGACAGCACACTACTCTGCTCACGGGGGGTGGGCACAGTGAGTTTTAAATTCCTACTTTTTAAAAGAATATATGGTAATTATTTATTTTTTTTTTGCGGTACGCGGGCCTCTTCCGTTGTGGAGCACAGGCTCCGGATGCGCAGGCTCAGCGGCCATGGCTCACGGGCCCAGCCGCTCCGCGGCATGTGGGATCTTCCCGGACCGGGGCACGAACCCGCGTCCCCTGCATCGGCAGGCGGACTCTCAACCACTGCGCCACCAGGGAAGCCCTGGTACATTATTTTTAACTAGTAATTTTTAACTGACAAACTGAAATGACAGTGGCCAAAAGGCAAACTGTGTCCTCCCCGCTCAAAGCTGTGTCCGGCACAATCAAGTAATTGATTTAATGATCAGCAAATCTAATAAGTATTATATTATGCCTGTTTTATAGGTGAGGAAGCTAAAGCACAGAAAGATTAAGGAATCTGCCCAAGACCACGGCGCTTGAACGTGGTGTTGTCTCCAGAGCCCGAGCCTCAGCCATTATGTTGTCCTT